GTTGAGTTAACTACCATAATATTAAATATTCTTCTACAAATAAACACGAAGACAAATACACAAAAATATAATACTAAAATTTCAAAATAACACAACTAATGACACGGAATTGAATAAAATTTAATAACTGTTGCTTACCTCCTAAAATTTAATAATTACCAAACTCCAATCGAACGATAAGATGCAGCATTATTTTTAACTGGCATATTGTTAATTTTAAATGTGTATTATAAAAATTGTGGCCTCTGTCGTTTATTAAAATGAATATGTTATTATATATTTATAAAAATCCTGTAAAACATTGAAAAGGAAACTACACATTGGCTGAAATATTATCCAATGTACAGGATGAGTCTTAAATAAGTGTAAATATTTTCAGGTCTGGTAGATCGAAAGAAACGGGAAAAGAATCGTATTTTCTCTTTGCCGCTTTTCGAATAAGTCCAAAACAACCAAGTTATTTTACTTCGAAAATTAAACAATAAATGATTTTTGCTCATATATTGCGAACTACTGTTTTTTTGGGTCAAGATATTACGTTTTTAACCAAAAATTTGAAAAAAAAATCCAATTTTTTTTCGAAAAATGCCAAATATTCATTTTTTTCACGAAAAAAACATCATAGACGTGTTTCTGGAGTCAAAATATACCAACCATAAAAATATTTGCACTTATTGTATATAATATATAAGGTGAATCTGTAAAGGTCAAACTGTTTTTTTTGCGAAAAAAAAATTGGAAATTTGGAATTTTTTGATTTTTTTATTTTTTTTTAGTTCTAGATTAAAAAACATAATTTCTTGATAATATTGACAACATAGGTAGTAGATTAAATTTACAAAAAAGTAAAATCAGAAAAGATCCAGTGGTTCTCAAAATTTAAGCAAAAAGTTTTTTTTTTGAAATTTTCAGAGTAAAATAACTCGGATATTTTACACTTATTTGAAAAACGGTAAAAAGAAATTATGTTTCTAAGTCTAATATCTCTTTCTCTTAAAATATTAAGAAAAAAACTAACCAAAGCACTAAATTACACATACAAAGTTCTATAAGATACCGATTTTAGCTTCTTAATGAAATTGTAACATTTTTATAATCATTTTGTACTATAAAAAATAAGATGATCATAATGTTGACAGTTTGTGTATCTTTATCTTCGGTTTCAAAAAAAATAGCTCAGATTTGTAAAAACCACAAGGTCCTATCATTACATTTAAATATGAACCCTCTTAATTATACCCAAAAATGAACACTCTATACTGACTTGTTCAATATATTCATTAACCTTAAATTAAAGCTGTCGTTTCTTCTAAATAATACTAAATATCAGTAACAGGTGAGCTTGGGCAGATCCACAAAATGACAACCATAGCGCAGAGATAGCTAATTCCGACTTGTCGGAAAGTATCGGTTAGATATTAAGTCCCAAACGGGAGATAGCAGCCTGCGTGCACTGGTAGTACTTTGGTCGTACCACCGAGGCGCAACTATCGATAGTAAGCGGATGGTAAAAGGCTTTTTTTCAGGCAGTTTTTTATATCAGCAGTTAAGTGGCAAAAATCCTTATATAATTTTATTATATACCTGTACTTCAAGAAATTTGTTTTCTATTTTATAATTTGGCTTGCCTGAAAAAAAGCCTTTTACCATCCTCTTACTATCGATAGTTGCACCTCGGTGGTACAAAAGTACTACCAGTGCACGCAGGCCGCTATCTCCCGTTCGGGACTTAATATCTAACCGATACTTTCCGACAAGTCGGAATTAACTATCTCTACGCTGTGGTTGTCATTTTGTGGATCTGCCCAAGCTCACCTGATGATAGAGTGGGGCTCCGAAACCGGTAGTGAGAGCAGGTTGATCCACAGTATGACAAACACAGTGTAGAATTAAATTTCTATATCAGCAGTTAAGTGGCAAAAATCCTTATATAATTTTATTAGTATCTATACTATCTATACAGGGTGAGTCTTAAATAAATGGGAGTAAAATTCAAGACCGTGACACACCACGACCTGGACACGACACGGCTTTGAGGCACGTGCGAAAACACTAAAAAACATTTGATTTGAAGCTAAGAAAATCATTATAATAAACTTGATACTGTACCTGTGTGCCAATATCCTCTGGCTGTGTGCTAGGACGTAAATTTTCATACGTATTTTCGTCGATAGGTTTATAGCTTCTGAATAACGGTCTAGGTAAAGCATCTAGTTCATTTGCTAGCTCAGAATTAGAATTATTAAAGTTAAGCAAGTTTCGCATTTTCATTGGAGGACATTGTCATATTTATTTGAAACCAATAATTATAATCAACGAGAATATCCCTATAATTCAACAAAACTACTGTAAACCAGTATAAATACGAATTATAGGATAGGTTCAAATTTTTTTCTTTCCTTAAATAAATTTAAGTGTTAACATTATTATGTAGTTGTATAAAAGTGTGTATTTTGGGTGGCATTCCACAAAATTGGCAGGGTATTGAGGAAAGAGAAAAAATACAGATGCTATATAGAAAATATACACTGTTTTTTTCAGTCATACTATATAAAATGTTGTAAGCTTAATTGCCAACTTACCAAGCTATGTGACATAGCTTATGTCACAACTAACTAAACATGTTGACTAAATACACACACCGGAAAAGTCTAGGGATATTATAATTTTATCCAGCCATCGTCAGTAATTTTATTATTTGCATTTCTGATATAATAAAATTAAAATAAACAAATAGTTTACAGGACGTATTGGAAATAAAAATGCGAAATTTACCGAATTTTTCAAATTTACCTTGATTTTTATTGAACTCAAAAAAATACACACATTTTTTTTATTCTAAACTGTGAATTAAAAGAAAAAGATAAAACCAATTTTACTTAATAAAGGGTATGACCTCCTCTACTGTTCATGACAGTCCTACATCGTCTCTTCATGCTCCTGATCAGGTTGTCGATCTCTTCTTGAGGTACGCCTGCCACGCTGCATTCACGGCCCGAACCAGATCCCTACGAGTTTCACGAGGCATACCCATTCTCAAATCTTCTTTGGACCGCGTCCCATACGTGCTCGATATTAGCTCGATGGGGTTGAGGTCAGGAGATTGTGCCGGCCAGGGTAAGATGTTTAATTGATGAGCATTGATAAATTCACTTACCACTCTGGCTGTATGAGGCCGTGCATTGCCATGCATGAGAATGAAGTTGCTCCCAAAATCATTGGCATATGGTAACACGACAGGCTCAAGAATTAAATCACGATATGTGATTTCTGTTAGAAACCTTTCAAGAAAAACGAGATCGGCTTTTCGGCCTAACTGGACTCCTCCCCAGACCATACCTGTTCCACCTTGATAAGAGTGCACTTCCTGAACATGATCCAACCAAATAAGATTTCCCAGTTCTCTCCATACCCTAAGCCTTCTCGAATCCGGATGAATTCCAAAGCGTGACTCATCTGTGCAGAGAACATTGGCCCATTGTTCATTCGACCACTGAACATGATCTTGATCCCACAAATATCGTACCTCTCGATTTCCTCTCGTTAAGGGTTGAGCTCTCCAGGGGCATCTGCTTCTTAAGTTGACCTCTCTTAATCTATTGCGAATAGTGTCAGGACTAACGGTTACATTATGTGTTTCCTGGAAAATTAAACTAAGCTCTGGTACTGTAAGAGTCGGTCGGAGTGGAGCATGTAATTGTAAAAAATGACCTTGCTGAGGGGTAGTAATGCGATGTCGCCCTGTGTGCCTTTCAGCAACATCACCACTTTTACGGTAGCGTGCACTTAATCGCGATATTACACTTTGCGTTGTATTTAATGCTCTAGCTACGTCGATTTGGCGCATTCCAGCTTCGAGCATACCCATGGCTCTTAGCATTTCGTCTCTGCTAAGATGTCTACGCTCCACAATGTCGTTTAATACTAAACAGAGTTATTTGAATGAATTCTGGCCAGTTATCATAAAAACATAGCCAGTACAGGTTAAATTCGAACAATTGATGCTAGGTGCTTTTTATACATTTAACAAAAAATGCACAAACACTTCTGCAAATATCCCAAATTTAGAAATAACTAGTGTGACTACTTCGTTTCAATCGTAGTAGAAAGAATCGACCTACAAATATGTGGTTGTTTATTCAAAACATTTATATTTAACTTTAATAAAATGATATCCCTAGATTTTCCGGTGTGTGTAGTTATTAAACTGAAATCATAAATTTGAAATGTTTTGTGCCAAAAGTTAAACAAAAACTGCTTTATCATCATTTTTTCGAAGAAAAATTTATGATTAATTTAAAAAAAATAATAAGTTCTCAAATTTATCATTTCAGTCAAATAACTATCCACTCAACATGATTATTTTTAGTCAATAATGACATGTATTGACTATTTCCATTCTAAATATCTTAAGAACGGTTGCTCGTAGCTATTTTTACCAAGAGACGTTTTTTACGTAGAAAATCACGGAAATGTATATTTTTGACTCAGTACTTTTATACAGGTGCGGACGAAAAATTATTACTCTTCAAACAGTTTAAACACATGTAAGTGGCGCCCCCTACAAATAAGAGTCATATTGACAGCAAAATCAAATTTTTCTTGTCAGAAAACTCCCAGACGCCAACTTTCATCCAAATGTTGACGTTACTTCAGAAATTATTTGCAAAAAATCGAAATAATAATGAAACTCCTACACCCTGTATCTCCGAAACTAAGAATTTTAGGACATGCATTTATACGATTTTTTATACTTATTTTCATTTGCAGAATATGCTGCCGAAGTTTCCTGAATACAGTTCGGACCACCCTGTATAACACCACGTATTTTACCTATCTTTGAATTTCCCACCAACTTTTTAACGCGTCCTGGTAAAGTGCGCGGCCTACACTCTATCCATTTCCACTCCAGCCAGGAAAATCGATCCGTGATCATCGCGTTCTGGCTTCAACGCTGCACGCTCTGTTCGCTGGTGGCAGCAGTCGTTCGAAAACGCCATCGTGGTAGCTTCTGTAAACAGTATCCATTCATCCAGACCGACAATTCCGTAATATACGTGCACCATATCCAGATATTAGTCATTCAAAAGCGATGAGACCGAATTTACCAAGCAACAGTTCAAAAGAGGCAAATATGAAGGTGAGTTTATTTTATAACTTGACTCTAAAGTTAACCTAGCTAATATTTTCCAAGTCTGTCATAATTACTGTTTAGAATTTAGGTTCTGAAGTTAACGTAATTTGATTACTTGCATCAAATTGTTAGTATTTTATGCCAAATGAAATAACTGAGAGAGACTGAAACTATTTTTTACGAATTTACTTTTCTATATCAAAATAATGTTCGTCTTATCTGCGTTAGGGATGCTGAATTTTTACCTTAATAATAATATTATTCAAGAAACAATGTTTTAAAGCTAAATTACATTTCCATGTAAAAATATATCTTGATGATATGGTAACATAGGTAGTAGAATAAATTTAGAAAAAAAAATACAGTAACCTCAAAATTTAAGCTAAAAATCGTTTTTCTTTTTAATTATCAAAGTAATTAATAAATAATTAGTCAATTTTGGATAATTTGAAAAATGGCAAAGGGGAAATATATATCCTTTATAGAGATCTACAAGCTCTAAAAATATTGCACATATTTAAGACTCACCCTGTATAATATACAGCGTAACAAGATATGCTTTTATACAAATACTGTCGTCTCAATTCGATAGGAGAAGCTGTTATTTCTTGTCGAGGAATTTAAGTATTTCAAAGCGAATCTTCTCTATTTATAGGTAATCTCATCATGTTTTCCATACATTATTTTTATTTCTGTTTTATTTTACAATGTACTTATATTTACAGTCCCATATATACAATATGCATAAAAAAATTTAAAAATATTTCTTTACATTTTTTCTATGTAGTCTTTTTTACGATAATAATTTATAGAGAAAATAATGAAACTGAAGAATGAAGAGAACTTCCAATCTTAATGACCTTATACAAGATTAACGACCTACAAAATTAAGTTTTAAATGATTAGACATACATATTTACGAAATTTCAGTCACAAAACATGATTAGTTAAGCAATTAGAAAATTGGTTTTAGAATATTATATTTAAAAAAATTAAAAATATATAACAATAAAATTATAGATCTCTAGAAAATAATAATAAAAAATGTCTCAGGAGTGCAATCAAGAATTGTTTTCCCATTTATAAAAAATGAATACAATAACAAACACGTGTATTATTGGTCTAACACATAGATCCAATTCTGCTTTGTTTCGTAGCTACAGGGTGTTAAAGACTTAATATTTTTTTCGATTTATTATAATTTTCTTCCAAGTACTTTTAGCGTTTCGAATGAAATTTTGAAGGTAAAAGTTACTATAAATGCGACATATTTTAAAGCTAAAAAAATGTCGACATATTAACCAGGGACGTGCATATGGGTTATCACTGGAATATTTCTCTAAAAAAAGCATGTACGCCACTGGTTTTTTCCCTTGTTAGCGAAATAGTTTAAGCAGTTTAATGCCGATTTAAAGTTGTCTTTTGATATTTTGCCGACTTCCGCCTCCTTGATGAGATAAACGCAATTTTATTAATTTGCCTTGATCCATGTCTAATAGCATCCAAAATCATTAACTTGCGAAAGTTTTAAATATGTACTCATTGATTCCCCCTCAAAAAATGTGAAAAAAAGTTCTTATAAACATGGGTTCGGACATGCATATTTTTAGAGTTACAGGATGTTAAACTTTTTAAAATTACGTTTTTTGTAATTACCTTAAATACCATTATTTTTTTATTTGAAATTACCTGTAGGTGGGACTAATAGTAATAATATTTAATAATAAATTAGTTAAAATTTTTAATTTATTAATTTTATTTTTATTTTAATTTTATTAATTGTGATTAATAAAATTGCGTTTATCTCATCAAGGAGGCCGAATTCGACAAAATATCAAGAGATAATTTTTAATTAGCATTAAACGGCCCACATAATTTTATCAAAAGAAAAAAAGTCAGTGGCGCACATCTTTTTTTCTGAAAAATATTCCAGTGATTACCCATATGCACGTCCCTGATGAATTTATCGGTACTTTTTTAGGATTAAAATATGTAGCACTTATAGAAACTTTTACCCTCAAAATTTCATTCCAATGACTAAAAGCACTTGGAGAAAAATTAGAATAAATCGAAAGTCTTTAACGCCCTTTAGCTACGAAACAAAGCAGAATCGGACCTATGTTAATATGAAAAATAAATCTTATTTTTAGCCGAGGAATCTCCCCACGAGAGATGGCACATGTTTTTTGAAACACCCTGTAATCATCATGTGAATCATGTTTTTATAATATGTTTTCCGGAAACATCTAAATTTCTTCTAAAAAAAAGATGTTAAATTCTTTATTTATAACCAACTCTATAAACTTATGCATATTAATACTTTATTATATTAAGTTTAAGTTTTCAACAAAAATTAATTTTAAATTGGTTCAACGAAAATTTTATTGTCTTCTTTAGATTGACGAGATTTATTGTCTTCTTTAGATTGCATTTCTACAGTCGTAATTTTTTCAAGAAATCTAATAACTTGGAGACTGCATCTTTCATATAGCTCATTGCCAATAGGTTAATATAAATAAAATGTATTCAACCAATATTGAGATTATATATTAGAGACTGTACAGGAAAGAACACAAACTATACTAAAAAAATTAAAGAAACTGTATATCACAATCTATAAAATTATGATATTTTTCAATTCAAAAAGTAATAAATTTTAAACTTAAAACAGCATTAACAGTATTTTTAAAACATAAGCAAAGTTTTTTTTATGTACAGCGGAAACGCTTAAAAACTGCGCAGTCCAATATTAAGATCTACTCGAATTTTATGTCGACTTCTATTTAGGCGAGACGGAACTATCAAGTCTAGCCTAAGATAATATAGTTTACCCCAGTCACTAAAGAATACAAGGACACGTAACGCTGCGCTGCAATAAAATTAATACACGCTGCAGCAAAATTTGTTATGTGAAGCACCATTTTTTTGGAGGCAACGGGTTTATCACCAGCAACAATTTTAACAATTATTAACAGTTTGATGTTTGTAATAAAGTTTATATAAAATTTATTTTATTTTTTTTACGTTTTTTTATTGAATTTCGTAATTATTTTTCCGAGATTATACTATAATGTGTTTTACGTATTGCATGTTAGACTCTCATCTAAAGTGGAATGAGCATACCAACTATATTAGCAATAGACTTAGAGGTCTAATACGCAAGTTCAAAGAATTAAAATATTATTTTGAAATTCCCTATTTAAAGACACTTGGCGCTTGTGCAGCCACATTTAACATATGGCATAATAGTTTGGGGTGGTGTACTTGATGTTCATCTTAAAATATTAGTGAATATTCAAAAATGGATACTAAAAGTTATATATAAGAAAAACCAATTATATCCAACTGATTTATTGTTTGAAGAATCCAAAATTTTTGACATAAGATTTGCGCAAAGTATAGCCCTAAGGCAATAGAAGGAAAAAGATACCATTAAACCCATCCAACATAAGCATTACACCAGACAAAAAAACTCTAACAGGCACTCTCCCGAATATCTACACCTCAGCAGCACAAAGATATTTTACGTATATTAGTTCAAACTTACACAATGAGCTACCACCTAGTATAAAAACTCTAAATTCCATTAATCTGTTCAAATCAAGATTAAAAACATGGCTACTAAATCAGGGAAGAAATAAAATTAATGCCCTTGCGAATAAAAAGTATGGATAATTAATATCTTCACTTTTTTTCTAAAAATAAATTATTTAAGTAAAAAAAGTTATTTACCGTCTTATAATTAAGCAAATAAAACAAAAATAATTATAACCCAATTCAGACCCTATTTCCCGAAATGACTTTAACCCTGGCTAGAACTAAAAAAAACTTATTTTGACACAAAAATCCTGATCTAGACACGAAAAAAAAAATAAATTTAGCTTTGTCATTTCTTTGTCTCCCTCATCTGTTTGTATATTTGTTTATTTTCTTGATTGCTAAATGAAGCGTGGAAATTCAAAAGCGTCTAAGTGCCAAATTGATCGAATTTAAGATATCATTAATTTTGTAATCTATGTGCCAAGGCCAATAACGTACAAAACAGTCTAAGTGACATACTGCTATTTTAACGTTAAATACTCGGCTAAAAGATGGCGCGACGTCCAAGTTCAGTAGGTAATTAATAGTTTTGTTTATTTTTGTTTTCTTATTTTTCAGGAACTTTAGTTTTTTTATTATTATTACTTACATTGTACATTGAAATCCTTCCTTTTTGATAAATAAACTTTACTTTACTTTAACTACTTTGCTCCTAAGCATAAAAAATAGCATTAGCTTAATATGGAATAATCTAGACAACGTTTTAAGTAAATTTTACTAACCTACTTTCTATCGTGTCATTTGTTTTTCTCATAGGTTAGGTTAGGTTGCTTTGGTTTTCGGATCATGTTTGATCCCTCACTCGCAGGCATTGGGCTCATTGCGATATCCCAGTATTATTGTACCAAACCTTCCTCTCATTCTTTTTTTCCGTTAAAGCACTTCCAGCTCTTTGCAAAATTCCCGATATTCCTATCTTTATCATCTGCCAGGCCTCTCCCCTGGCCCCATCTTTGTCGAGCCTGTCTGCTTCTTGGTTGCCCGCCACATTACTGTGGTCTGGCACACAATACAGAGTAGCACCTCTTGACGCAACAAGGACAGTACTTCTCGGCAGTCCATCACAGTTTTCCATCTCACTGATTGCATGGTTTTTTTTTGGAGGTGTAAAATACCTTTGCGTACGGAGTGTGGGACTCAATCTCTCCGTAAGCTGCCTGGAGGACACTACCCACTAAACGTCACCCCCTCGCTCCTGCCACGTCTACCTGGACCCGCTGGACGCATATCCTCAAGTAGACGCCGGACTGTTCCTTTTTTGCCATTACCCCTGCTCTTCGCTGTATTTTGCCTCTAGTATATTTTGAGCCAGTTTTGAGATGGCTTCAAAGTTTTCTCTTCTTTCTGTTACCGATTTTAAGAAGGTATCTGCGGAGATGTTGCCACCAATCGTCATGCGTGCCTCA